CCTCCTGTGAGTGAACACAATTGGGTATAGCTGATATGCAAACATTTGGGATAGCTATATCTAGCCTGTACTTGGTCAAAGTCCCTCTTATGACTATGACTTGGTGTAGCTGAAACCAGACTACTGTGGATTAGTGATGTTTTGTAATGGATTACCTCCTGATGAGTACATTTAAATAACAATGGAAACTAGCATATCACTGGCAACACATATAAGGATTTTGGCAAATTTTCACCGTTTTGTATGAAACTATTTTCACAACAACATTAATCTTTTACAATAAATTATATCAAACATATGTATAATTTAGTAGTATTAAAACTTTTTAAGTTTTTTTGAATTAAGAATGCACCAATCTTACTAGGAATCTATTCAAATCTAACCTAATGTGTGCTATTAATAATGGCTCATCAAAGGTATTGAATTACTGAACACACACCTTTGCATAGTTTCCAAAACTAAAATATTATTTCATGCTCTGCCCCCTCTCATGTAACAGTTTGTTAAGAATACGTACATTATTTAAAATCATTTTAAAAATGTGACTGGAATGTCCAGGCCCAAACTTCTGCTGCTGCAACATCCGACCATTCCTGCATGTACATGCAATTGTTTCTCCGAGATTCTGCATGCAACCAGTTTATTTTTTGAACTGAATAACAGATTCCTAGAAGTTTATTTTGACATTTTCAAATAACACTATATATAATTTAACAATTTCAGGAATAGATTAGATTGCTTGCTATTCCATTAGAAACTCTTACTTCCAAGTGTGATTTTCAACAAGCGTTCATATGTTTAGCTAACCAAAGGGAAACAAAAGCATAGTGACAGGAAGTCAACACAGCAGAAAGTATGACAAAGGTTTACACTTCAAAAATGACTGGAAAGTAAATAATTTATAACCAAAGACCATCTATGCATAAACAACTAAAGATCTGGGAGGTACAGCTTTGCAAAGTAAAAATGTCATATGGGGGAGGGGGGGGGGGGGTTAAAACATTGCTTCAAACACAGTCCCTCTATCACTGTGCTTCAAAACATCATCTTAATTATCAGCTCAGTGTACAAACACATAAAGTACAGAAATTGGATAATTAATGAAAACATTAGACAAAACAAGAATATGTAAGCAATATTTTGTTTTGTTTTTGAAAAATCATGATGTAGTGCACAGCCATACAGACTGTTTTAGTGGATAATAATATTTTAGGTTTGCAATGTCATACTCCTCCAGATATTCATCAAGTTTTCTTGAGAGGCGATTAGCTTAAGGAGGGGGCTGTGCAAAATGTTTTTTCTCCTCTTTGTTTTTGTGCTATTCTTTTTCTAGTGTAAAATATTTTTTTCTCAAAGATGTAGGCGTGTCAAATTTGTTCATGTTTTTGATCTCTACAGGATTTTTTCAATAATATTTTCCTGTTAATTATTATTAAGAAGATGAAAGATTGTGGAGTGAGTGTGGGTGTGTACAAAAGGGTCAGCAAGAAGAACTATATAAGATAGCTGAAAATCATGAAATACCAGTTGAAAGATGTCACTTTTATTTGAGGGAAAACATAAAAAAAGGAATGTACAGTAACTCTACACACTTGGAACTTTCAAAATCTGTGTGCAAATGTAAAACTGATAAACATGCAAATGCTAAACCATTGCATCCATCAATACTGGTTAAACTTTTTTTTTCCCTTAACGTCCATAAATTCTGGTTCTTCAACTTCTTACGTTCCATTTATATAGTATTTCCTTTTTTTAAATTGTCATTATCTGCAAAAAATAATTCAGATTGCTATTAGCTTACAATGACCAGTTTTTAATTAAGACACTTTGTAATCAATTTTGGAAACAAAAATTTGTGGTGTCTGTGCATTCTGGCATATTTCTGTCCTCACTAATAACAATGTGGATAAAATGACATCTTGTGATATGTCAATTTTTCCCCTATGCAACTCAGATATACTTCCAAAAAGATGATACCCGGTACATTCTGATTGAAAAAATATAAATATCAAATAAAACAGAATAACATCAAATTGTTTCCTAACCGAATATATTAGGGGTTGTGCCATATATACACACAGTTCATCTCTTGAGAGACTAGGACAGTACACAGTCCCTCTGTGGACAGTACATTGCTGTACTTGGGAACCTAATTTCTGAGAACAATAGGGGGATTTAACTTCCTACAAGAGACAAAAGAATGTTATGTAACAATGCAGCTGCATGATTTTGTCTTTCAAAGTAGGAAGCTGTGTACATACAAAATTATAGAGTCCCTCCACAATGGGAATGCCACCATGCATGTACAACTTCATCGATCCCCAGGTACTTTCACAAAATAAATAATTGTATTATAATTATGATCCAATACAATACCATATTTGCTCTAAAATTACATTTGTGGATACTAAATCATGAAAATATTACATATTTCGACCATTGAAGATCCCTGTAATTTACCTAAGTGCATGTGCTGCTAATAGAGTAATTATGTTAAGTGTAATATTGTTTCTATATATTTTTTTCAAAATCAAAAAAATGATATTAAAAATATAAAAACAGTTTAGTTTGAAAAGTGAAATAATGGTATTCAGATGGTTATGATTTAAGCATGACCTTAGAAAACAGGGTCATGCAACTTCTGTCTGAGACAATGTGCAATGTGGGTTATAACCTCCTGTATAATCTCATTAATACATATACATGTACCTAGAAGATTTATACATCTGAAACAGTTTTTACTAGTATTCCCATTAGTCAGTGTATAACAAGTGCACTATGCTATATCTGTTCTAAATATGATGAAAAATCCACTTGTTATAATGACACAAATTTCCACAGGTCATTGTTTACTTTTAGCAGTTTTGTTTCCTTGCAGAGAAAACTTACCATTTTTGTTTCCCTTTCCTGATTTCATAGTGGAATAAAAATTGTTAATTTTGATTTCACTCGCATCAATAGAATGGACTTGGCTATTTTGATCAAATTTAATTTTTTCTGATTATATCCAACCACAAAATTGTCTCATTTTGTGTAGCTACACCCTGGCAGCCATGTTTGGTTTTTTAGTAACCATGGCTTATGAAACAGGAGAGGATGTAACAGTGGTGTTGACATAGATTTATTATCAGTTTCTCTAAGGTGTTAATTTGGTAGAGGATTATAACTAAGCTTACTTGAAAGGGATACCATGGTAGCATGCCCCTGTTCCCGTTATATAGACTAAATATTTTTTTGTCCAAGTTGAGCCAGAGTACCCATGTTCAATTTGACGGACCCAGAAACACCCAGGACTTTTACTGACTGCATATTACACCTTCATTATAATTTGTTTAATTTTCACCCATTTGCCCCCTGGATCTTCAATAGTAGTGTTCATGCTACACGATGTACGGGCTAAGATTTAAGCTAATCTCGTATGTTTGAGTTCATGCACAGAAGGAAACGATGGTTAGCACGGGGTAAGGAACGCCCAAACTTATTAAGAATAGGCAAAAGCTGCAGGAATTTTAATTATGATTGCTCAGTTAGAGTAACTAGGAACGTTAGTTCTACAGCTATAAAACAATACCAAAGCAAATTCAGAAAGTGCAAATTGCAGAATAACAGAAAGTAGCACAGAGTCTCGTCATCAGTTCATTTTTTCTTGAGTAAATTTCTCTATAAGTGTTAGCGTTGATTGTCATGCAGGAAATAGCACACCGAAATAAAAAGTTATGAATATAGTAGTAAATCTCTAAATGAACATTGAATACAATGGTTTTTTAAGCCGAGCTAAGCGCTCATACATGTTTTGTTTTGCCTGTGCTAATGCTCTGGACTGACCAGATTTACTCTGTACTTAGTATTTCTTAGCCTGTGTTCATGCAATTTTTTTCTAGCACAGGCTAAGGTATTGGACCTCTTAGCCTTTGCTGAAGAGCTCTGCGTGAATACTACTAATAAGTGTCTTCTGTTTATTCCTTCCTTAGGCGCATACATTTAGGTTCACTTCCCTTTTATATTGATCTCTACAACTCATTCAAATCAAATTGGACTCAAAGATGGGCAAAGAATATTAGATTTAATTGAAATTTAGTTTAAATCCATGCTAAATTAAAAGTTATTTTGAGTATGGGAGTTTTTTTTGTGTGCAAAGAAAATGAACTGTTGCACACTGTGGGCATATATCATCTTATACTAGTTTACAGGAAAAAGGGATTCTGTATGGTATTTGACATTATGGGCATAATATATATAGTTCATACATGGTTACTAAATTAGATTTCTCAATGTACAGTACACTATTGTTGGTATTGTCTGAAGAGAAAAAAAACAAAACAATATACGTAATTTTTGAAAATTTAAAAAAAAAACACATTTTGCAGTCAGTTAAATTATATTAATAATTTGAAAATATTACCATGAATGGAAACAAATTTACGTTGATGTTTTTTGCAGATTTCAGGAGTGAAAATAACTTTGTTTATACTTTCTGTATACAAACATAGAAGCTAATCTCATTAACACTACTTGAGCTTGTTGTTTGACAATTATGAATAATAATGAAGCATTACTTACAGTGTGCCATGACTGAACAAAAACGAAAGCCCCAAAAGACTATCGTGCTACATAAACAACAACAAAAGTATCTAATATTGTATTGAAGTCATTGTAAAATGGTAAAATAATTACAAATTCATACCTTGATGTGCCAGTTGCAGTACTGCAATCGTCCTATGATTCAACACCATCTAAATACTCCGCAGGTTATTCAGTCCACCAGCAGTCACTGGCATCAGCATTACTATGAAATTTCACTGGGGATCGAGGCAATATTCGCGAAATTTCATTTAAGTGTACTTGGAAGCGCCAGTGAAACTTGGGAAAAATAAATTCCCACACGTATATTGAGGCTGTTTTCTGGGCCATTATATTTAAAGACATGAACAAAAATACTGGTCATTTTATGTATGTAATGAAAAATAAAATGACCATTTTACTGCCCATAAAAAAAAAATGTTCATCAACTCCATCATTCAAAAAGCAATTGTAATTATTCTGACCAGTATAAAAAACATGGGTCATTAAAACCACCATTTTAAAAACACTAGTAAATATTTTGGCCACTTAAAAAATTCTGGTCAATACTCTGGCCATTAAGAAAATAGTGGCCATTATAATGGCCAGAAGTGACTTTTTAAAGGGGTCTGAGGGGTGTAAAAACAGTGTTAAAGTGAAATGAAGAATTATTATAACCTTCTCACTAACCTAAAAGCACAAATAA